TACACACGTTCAGGTGTAGTCTTGCTCGGCGCACGTACGACCGCGAAATCCGCCGGCACGGTCAGTCCGCCCGCCGCTCGCGAAGCACAGTAAATTGAAGTCACGTGCTCGCCGCACTCTTGCCGATCGGATAATATTATTGTACGGGAAAAATTGTCGTGTTCGAAAGCCCGTCTGGTGTATCGACACGTAAATCGTTTTCACGGACATTAACTGTTGCTCGGCGCTCAAAACTACCTGTTGGACACATACCCCGCGAACGCCACCGCCGCCGTTCACCACCGGTTTTCCGCGCGATTCGTACGATTTTCGTATTACATTATTGTTACTATTATTATGATTTGTGTTATTTAAACCGGCGATCCCGCGATGACGCGGGCTCCGATGTCCGGTCGTTCACGTCGCCGCCGGCCGTACGTATTACCGTACAGTATAATATAATAATAATAATATTATTATTATTATTATTATTATTACTATTATTATTATTATCATAGTGCTATGATAATGCGTTTTCGTTTCGCCGTTGCACGCTGCAGCGTTGCGTAATATTTTGATCATATTTTGAATATTTCTATGATACTGTCTATATGATTATAATGTCGCACGTCACGGCGTTTGTTGTAACGAGTCACGATACGATAGAGTTACGACGACGTTTTTTCATTTTTCAACCCCTTCAGAGAAATCGTTGGGATTTGGTTTTTTTGTTTTTTTAGCCCGTCAAAAAGCTCCGAAATCTAACGTTTTGCCAGTCCGCGCGCGCGTCTATGTGAGATTACTACCTCCTACTATATTACACTATATATGTATGTACGTGTTCGATATAAATATATTATTTTGTTGTACATAATGGCGAGGATCAGGTGAAAATACATAAAGCGTAGTGTCGAACCCCGCCGAACGAAATTCAAAAATCCACGAAATGTTATTTTATTACTGCAATCGTCTTGTTCTCTACCGCAATTGCCCCGTTGGAAACGTTTCCTGAACCAACCCATATACGGTTTATCTGCGCCCAACATGTTGTGTATAGAGGTACCTACACATAAACACACATACACACACATATATATATACTTAGTCCTTTCGTCCGGTCTTGTTTTTGACGGGAAAACGTTTAGACCGTGTACATAGTAAAGCGTGTGTCCGCGACGACATACGTATTTGAGTATTATGTTGCCGCCGTGCACTTATAATAATTGTCGCGGGTCCGAAGAAGGAAATACGCACGATGTCTGCCGCCGATATATTTGACCGACCAGCTCTGCGATATACGTCGTAAGCCATGTGAGTAATATTCAATACATACTTATGGAAAATAAATATTAATAAAACACTCTCCGGGACAATAATCTCGATTATTCTCGATATATCGTCTGTACACATTATGTTAGCCATTATTAAGTCGATCGGTCGTATCGCGTAGAGTATTTTTGTGTGGTAAGAACACCATTGTTGTACATCTGCGTTCGCACTTCGCACTATTAAATCACCCGTAGAAAATCATAAACCAATATTTTTAGAGATCCTCAAGTCAGGAAATTAAATATTGAAAAGTTTTTTGGATCCGTCAAAATGTAAATTACACGTTCATCTAATGAAATTAAAGTAAAAATAAAAAATAATTAACATATTTCACATTCGCAAGCCAGATGAGTTTCGTCCGTGGCCCATCATTTGGTGATTCTGATATGGGGTTCGTTCTGGACGTATAAAAAATTTAACTGCACTATTCTCATGCATCCGACACGTATCTATATATATACATAGAAGTCGGTGAAATATTATTGTTTAAAAATTACGCTGTCACCGCCCGTATATATAATAATATTATGCGTATCTGTTATACTTACATAAATTTCTATTTTTTATTCGTGAAAATTTTACGCTGTTGAATTAGACATGAAAGTTTTTAGTGCGAAACGCACAGAAACGTATATTAAAGGCGCCATGATTTTACTACCGCATATATACCAGACGTCTGTAATATGGTCATATGTATAATATATATTCGAAGACATAAAACATGTATTGAAAACAATCAATAAATACAAATTATTATTGCGAATCGAGATGATTTTTTTGAATATACTCAATAATCGAAATTGATAATTGAATGTATATCTATATCGCGATATTTTAAAATAATAGTAACGATTCATCGCGTTTTAGAATATTTCTCATAAGTGATAACAAACTTTACATATCTAAGTATATAGATTATTAATTCATGTAAACAAATCAAAACTAACTTTAAAAGTATAATTAAATTTTTTTTTTTACATTTTATATGGTGCTAAAAATAAAACTATTATAGATCTATTTTTTTATTTGTTGAGAAATTCCTTTTTGATAATATCCAATTATTATTACATTTTGTAAAAATGTGAAAATATACTTAGAACCTATTTCTAATAATAATTCAAACATCTGTTCATTAAACTATAAAACTAAGTTTCGCATTAGTGTCAAACATAATAGATTATTGATTTGATATTTATTGAATGTATTATATTGTATTCAACCATAATTTTATTTCATTATATTTTTTAACGAAGTACGTCGATTTAAAATTCTTCAGTATGCAAAAGTGTGTTTGTTGAATGCGACAATTTAATTTAATTTTTACAGATGTATATTATTATTATTATTTTTTTTTTTGCGCTGAATAAATAGTATAAACAGTATTTATTATTTATCAAATACTTATTATATAGCTCAATGGCTATAAAGTTTGTAAAAAATAGTTACAAAATAATGAATTTACTAATCGACAACATGATGTTCTTAATAATTATTTTATTATTGTTGTAGAAGTATACATATTTTATTAATTTACTATATAAATTAATTAAATATTTGAAATCATATATTTTTTTCAAAAATATTATTTCAAATAATAAAAAAAAACCCATTATTGTAAGTCTAATTGATTATATAGAATGTTTTTGACGTAGATAATAACATGTTTTATTCATAATAAAACCAAATTAATTTTACATATTGTATAACAATAACTATTATCATAGAATACTTTTACAAACTATAGGCAATTAAAAAAGTGACTAGTAAAAAATAATATGTCAATTTTTAATGAAAATCTCGTGTGTAAAGTAACTTAATTAAGTGGTTTTATTGTATTAAATAGGTCGAGAAAATTGAGATAATTTATTATTGGATTGTAGACAAGCCGGTAAAATACTTAAGAAACTCGAAACTTTGAAATATTAAGGAATTGTTTGACGTTTTTATCATGATCAATAACCATGCATACATTTTACCTACATTACATACATAGATATACGGAGCAATATCATAATTTAGTCTATGAATTACGATAAATTTGTTTGAATATCACTTAAACACCATCTGAAATGCAATAATTTAAAATCATTACCACGGTATATCATAATTTTTTTGTTCGGTCAATGAAACAAAATAGAGTTAAACTACGACGGAATACAATTGTGTAATATTGTTTTATTTATATAAATACCTACGAAGACTTATCAGTGAAACATAACGGCTCCGTTCAATGAATACCTAATAAAATATACGCATAATTATTATTGCAAACGTATAATAATAATTTATAATTTCTGTTATTATAAGTACACTATGTTTATACTTTTTTACGTACAATTATTATTTGCTATATATATTATGGATGATTGAAAAATTCTACCGATAGTTTTTTTACCAATTTTATTTTTAAATTAAAATACAACTAAATTTTATTGTTGTGTATGAAACAATTTACTTCTAAATTTAATACTAAAATCAATAAAATAACACGTTCAATGCCATAAGCTATTATTTTTATTGGTTAGAGATATGGTTTTTTTATATTATTATCATGTACGCAAATAATTATGCGTTAGTAATACATCTAGAGAGTTGATGTTATGTTCCGATAAAGGGTATTACTACATTTTTCCAATTGTACATAATAATAGCTTGAGTTTATTTTATTTTATTTTACATATAAATATATATTATATTTTTATTTATATGTATAATATATGTGTGCATTTTTTTATTTTTACCTATATAATATCAGTGAAATTTAAATGTCATAAATTTGACTCGAATTATTCTTTTCTACAACCATTACCTAATACTCAACTAATAATATCATTAACAGAAATTAATTTATTAAATACTTTCATAAAATTTATTTAGTAACACTTCTAGATGCTGAGTGAAGCCATGGATGTATTTATTTTATCATAATGTGTTTGTTGTATGTGTGTGCATGAGTACACGATAAGTTATCGATAAAATGCTTCGATATTTAAAAATCGGGATGGTTTTGAATACCAAATCAATCCTAGTTGTTATTTTAGAGCGATCAAGCTTAAAAATTTCTAATACCTATTTTTATAATTGGGAAAAACTAATATAAAATAAAGGAAAAATGGGAATTTTTACGCAAATCCAATTTTTGATAAAATTGATTTTGTTTTTTTGATATAATTCAAAAAACTAATAACAGTAAACACTTAAGATTTTCACCAAATGATTATATTATCATTTTCTATGAATAATACAATTTTTAATTTTTTTAAAATTATTTATAGATATAAAATCATTAATTAATTTTAGATTTTTTTTATAAATTTCGATAAAAAATTATTTGCTCGGAAAAAGTGTTTGAAAATTTAATACTAAGCTTATTTTTTTTTAATTAAAATATATTGAAAATCTAAAGTCACATTTTTTTATAACCATTAAGAGTTAAAATGTTGACAACATTCAATACAAAATTTCTCATATGTAGTTCAAATTAAAAGCATAAAATTTAAAAAATATACAAAATTATTTTGTATAGACATTTTAAATTCTAATTTGTTAGAAATTACTGATTTAAACAATAAACGATTGACATATTTAAACTATTCGAGACGAATATATAGAGTTGTTCGTTTGCTTATTTAAACCATCAGTTATTCTTTTATGTCCTTTGCTAAATTTTATTTAAAATTTTTGTTTCACAGGAGTGTGACGGGAGTTTGTGCGGCGGAAAACAGAAACGGAGGTGGTGGCGGTGACAGCGACGACGTCGACGACTACGGCGTCGGCGGCGGTGTTCACGCAGTGGATCTCGCACGCGGACACCGTAATCACCGTGCCTATCGTAGGGGGAAGCGTACGCCGCCGACGACACAAGCATGTACGCGGCGGCCGGTGGCGCGTCGCTGGCCAGCAGACGGCACAAGCCCAAGCACCGGAACACGGCGGACGCGGATGCGCTGATCCACCAACAGTTCCAGCGCCGGTTCCAGCAGCACCAGCAGCAGTATGCGCCCGCGTCCGTGGAACACCAACTCCGCGCCTCGTCGTCGCTGACGCCGTCCACGCCAATGTCACCATTCGGTCAAATCCGGTTGTCGGGCCCGTTCGATCCAGCAGAGGTACATATAGAGAGCGACTGATCCAAACACGACCTGACCTAACCCCCACAAAAACCTACCCCCCTCGCAATTTATATCGCGAAACAAAAAAAAGAAAAACATAAATATATAGTATGGCTACCGTTTTTAATGCACAACCGCGATTCTTTAGAAGTGGCCAAGTGAGACCTAGGCTCTGAATTTGAGGCGTTTTACTCCGGTGCAGAACGTCGTATTCGAAATGAAAAAATAAAAATGGGAAAATTGTATTATTTAATTGCATTACAAATGTGATGTTGTGCGTAGAGAAATCATTAAGGAATTTCTCAGTAATAATCAGTAATGGTTTAATGCTTTATGCGCGTAATAAGTACAATAAGCATAAAAAGCATAAAAGACAACTATATCGTGGTCGAACACGTTTTGATAACGAGGCATTTATGACACGGCAAAACCTAGGGATAGATACATGTATGGTACATTTAGAAAATCATATGGTGCTTTATCTGTTTTGCGAACTGGTTATATAGCCTTAATTTGCTTCCCGGAGGAGATAACAGTTATTATGGTTTATCATCCAACATTAGCCGGCCATGACATTTTTGGTGTATTTCAACACCATTTTTTTCTACTTTTACCGAAAGACTGAAAATTATTCTGAAGTCCGTTAATTTTAAATGAATTAATATTAATATAGTTAGAAATTTATGTTAAGTTTCGCAATTATTTTCATGCTAATTTTTGGAATTATTTTTGCTCAGTGCCTATCATACATAATATCATGATCAACATTAATAATAATTAGGGGTAGGTTATATACGCAATTTAGAACATGCATTTTATTTTGTTAAATTATAATTAAAATTAAAATATGCAATAAACGTTTAATAGAATATTCAATAAATTTTCCAATAATTTCCAAGTATAGAATGAAAAGAAGGAACTTAATAATTTTAAAATAAATTAAATTAATTTTTATAATATAATTTTATACAATCATTTTTATTGGTATTACTTTTAAATAAGTTCATAACATTTTCAATCCATTTTTAAATTTTTTAAATTATTTAGATTTAATTAAATTGAATTTAGTAGCGTAATGCATTATGGAATTTATAATTTTACATTACTTTCATTTAAATAATTCATAAAACGTGCATTTTTTAAATTTACAACTAAAATATCTGTTATACAAATTTTATTTAATAATATGTTACAAATAATAATAAATTATTTGTATCAATATCAGGTGATTTGTGGACATTACTGAACAATTTTTTGTTAATTGAAAAAAAATCATACCAATACATTTAAATATTAGCATCACATACATTTCTTATTTATAAACAAAAAATCTTAAGGCACATGTCTATTATCGGTGTTTATTGTATACTATAATTAATACCTTTGCAGAGGTTATGTGATTGAAATTGCTGTCTACTTAGGTGAATCATTAATTTAAATACTACAGATTTATCACACTGAATTCGTAACTCTTATCCTTTAACGCACTACGGGTGCATATACCGAGATTGATAATATCGATAAGGCTCGGTTAATTATACGCGTCAGTGTTAATACATTGCTCTCCGAATCGTGGGTTTAAGTTCTACGATACGTATTAATTTTTCACCTTATTTACGACGTGTTTCTTTTGACTATGGATTCTCTTCATTTCTGAACACTCAGAAAAAATTCGTTTTCCAGTAGAAAGGCCGTTGTATAAACTCAGTATAAACTGTACCGCAATCACTCACATCAGTTGTATCCTCCCTACCCGAAAATAGTATTAAAAAAAGAAAAATTGAAGTTTATATCCTGTGTATTAATTTATTAACCTATCACGTATTAACGATTTATTTGTTTTTGATGGAAAATATATTTCAAATATGTCAAATAATACCTAATAATAATTTATAATAATATTACTGTTTTCTCTCATACGGACAATCGGGCACACACGTGCAAACGCCGTCATTATTTTAACATAGCATACAATTTTTATAACTAAATATTCATTTTAACAATATTGTATTGGGCGATTAAGTTGAACAAATAAATATCGACCCTTATTACGTCATAATAATAATAATAATAATAATAATAATACATTAGTAAAATTATTAACATAATAATATTATATCTATTATTTTTAGACGGCGCAAAGTATAGGCAATATAAGTGTATAACTGTATAGAAGAATATGTGTTTTAAAAAACGTTTGATATAGATGATGACGTGCCCTATGGCATGAGATGACTTTAAATTCTTGAATTATTATGCTTGTTGAAAAAGATATACAATTATAGTATTAGTCGATCATTTTATTATTAATGGTAGGTATATGTTTAAAGTGAGGAAAACGATTACACACCTATAGGCCCTCTTTTTACGAAACGTTATTCATATTATAATATTTAAAAGTATTTTTCTTCCGGTAATTACGCGATGCGTAAAAATACTTTTTCGCTTCATTTGATGGCTATAACATCTATCCGTTTTATGCGATTGAACATGCTTTACACGATATTATCGAAGTTCGTGAAGTGGAAATGTATTTCGGGAATAGAACGATTTCTTAAAATTAATGCAACATGATATATTATTATACCTATAATATAGATAACGTGATTTTATGAGGCTTATGGTCATATTATGACTAAGAGTTGATTTTTTTTACTCCATACATCTTTATATGAAGAAATACTTATATATATTTTATTTTATTGTCATATTTTGTATATTTTTATTATTAAACCTATTATAATTACAACTGGTGGTTAAAATGCTAGTATAAAATCCAATATGAGTACAGAACACTATATATATATATATATATCATTGTTTTTATTTTCATTTATTAGACTAAAATATTTTTATTCAAAATTGGAGTTTTAAATTTTTCATTTTTTGTACAATAATATTAACAATTACCGTAAAATGGTTTATTATTTAATAATAATCCCATTTAGACAAAAAATCGGAACGGAATTAAGTTTCTTAGTATACAAACATTAATACTTCTAATAAATTATAGTAGTTTGAGTTTTTAGATAGATTAACATTTTAAAATATTCTTTTGATGATCTTCGATTTTAAATTTGTAAATTATATCGAATTCTGTATAAAATGTTAAGCTTAACGATAAAACCATGTTTGCACACATAAATGCACCCCAGTATATATTGAACGAACATAATATACAGTATAGTTTAGTTTGTTTAACTACAATCGTTACGAGTTTGTTTATATTGTGTATTGTATCTACATAAGGACGTAAGAAAAGTATATGTCATTTTATGAAATTGTATCTCATCAATCTCTCAAACTTTAAACAACTTTAGTTAACTTTTTACTTAACTCATTTAAATCGATACAGTTGAATAATATATTCGTTTTAATTTTATTATATAATAAAATGATAATTATCATATTTTGTTATGTTTACTTCATTTAAAATTAAGACTACATACCAAATAAAAATTTGTTATTTATAATATTTGATTTAAAGATAATTTTGTTTGATGATAAATCCAGGAAAAAATTTTAATTAAAAGAATTAAAAAATAAAAATGTAAAAATTCCAAATCGATTAAAATTATATATTATATTGATGAATTTGGTTCTAATTTAATTGACGCATATTTTTATTTTATAGAAATAGCCGTTCGTTTTGAGTTAATAAGAGACAATAAGTTTTTCATAGGTAATAAAAAGAAGGTAATTTAACATTAATGCGTTTATCGGGTAACTCAAAAAATATTATGTTTTCACTGTGATGTGGTTTATTTTTCTCATCTCGTAATCCAACGAGGTTGGTAGCGCGGAATAAGAGGAGGTTTCGACCAAGCACTTGGAAATGAATTCTAAAAAAATTATGTTTTATTCTACCTCTGAGGCGTAAAAATCCAAATTTCCGTTCTATTATGTTATAGTTTTAAAAAATATTTTTTTTTTCATAGTTTTAATATAAAATAATATCTTGGTAAATGCAAATACTATCTCAACAACGTTCGTTTAAGATGTGGATATTATACTCTATTGAGTGACACTATATATAGTACGGTATAATATTAGCTGTTATGTGCAGATCTCCTACTCGTATAAACTATATTATTTAAAACATAAATATAACATTGAACAAAAAAAAAAAAAAAAAAAAAAATTCACTAGGTTTTTAATAAAGTATATTTTTGTGATATTTTAATTTTAAATTTATTTCACTCTATCACGTTTAGTCTTTAAACATTTAATAAATGTATACGAAAATTTTTATTCGAGGAAAACATTCGTAAAAATTCAATATAAAAATATGTCAACACATTACATATCTATTCAAAAAGAGTTATTAATTTTAAATTAAATCATGATCGGTGTATTTCCTTACAAACTTCATAAATTGTATACTTAAATAATATTTATACCATGCTTATAGGTAAGTATAATACTTTTACACATATTGTGTTGTGTTCCTTCAAATTATGTTTACTGAATACTGTGGGACAATACATTCATTTTGAAAGTCTTATTTGATTTATTAAATAAATATTAAATAAAAATGATGTGATAACATATAATATCGTATACTTATATGACTGCAGTCAATTACGATTGCTATTGACCTAAAAAAAAAAAATATAACAGTAGATTCGTTTTTGAAATTGTAATAAAAATGCTGTTTTCATTCATGCTGTAGATATTCTTTTATCTTGTCAAATAATGGATGTCATAAAAAAAAACTACGTTATGTAAATCGGCAATAACATAATAAACGGTTTTTTTATTAGACCTTAAACATGTGAGCATACACACGTCATCAAATATGCATTATGTCTGAGTATATAATATAGGTAAATATGTGTATTATATTATATTTCATCAAAGATGAAATATTACATTGCCAATAACTGTAAGCTGTGACCCGTGGTTTGGATTATCGTGTCGAAATCCTGTCGCATTTTTAGAAGACTGTCATTAAAAAGCCACAAAATCTGTATTGAGCTAGATTGTCAAGAAAATAA